AAAGTTGCGGGGAAGAATTCTATGTCTGATTGACATTATCTTCTTGTATATAGTTTAAAGGTCTGAAAAAAATCCGTACTATGTCGTGATCTTCTAAGAAGCAAATTTAAATATTCCAGGAAAATTCTCTTTTTGTATCTACATTTCTTTTTCTTTTCTTTTTTGGTACCAGGGATTGAACTTGGGTCCTTATGCTTGCGCAGCAGGCGGTGAAACCACTGAGCTAAATCCCTGGTCCCTGTTTATCTACACTAATGGATTGTTTATATCAAAGATAGTAATAAGTAATTTAGTTTATTTTCTGTATTTAGTAAGTTTTTTTAGATTGCTGTAATATTTTTCTTTTGTTCATTACTTATTTGCTCCTTCTTTCTGCCTTTCTTACTGAATTTATTTCAATATGTATCTCATTTAGAGAGGCATAAAGCCATTTTATTCATTTTGGTATACTTAGAGATTTCATTTAAAAGCTTCTATTTACTGTGGCATAATACTGTGAATGTTTAATATTTACAACTATATTTGACACTTGTTTGTCTTCCTCCTTGAGCTACACCTCAAAGGTGATTATTTTTGTTCTATATACAAAACTTTTCTGTGGAAGGAGAAAGCTCATATAAGAGCTGAAATGAATTAATTTTCTGTTATAATTTCTGCTTCTTCTCTTACTAGTGAGATACTTACCTATTCTGTACCAAGATTTACTTTTCACAATTGGAAGACATATAAAATTCAATGGAGTGATACTTTCTAAGTTTCAGTTTCATCCAACAATTCCTCAGGAAGCCCTAATGTAGTTATTTGCATGAAATAATGTTTACTTTATTTTTCTTTAGTTCACTTAATCTGTCCCTGATTCTTATTTTTCATATCCTCACATCTCAGTTGAATGAAGAAAAGGAAGGATACCCAGACAGTTTAAGTCTTTCCATATTTAGAAACTTTGAAAATTCTGTAGTATTACTATCAGGAAGTATGAAAATATTTAAGAGTCCCATCCCTATAGAATATTGTATTTCTTTTTCTCTTTTGTGTGTTTCTTAGTTTGATTAGTTTGTTTCTTTGTTTTTGGTTGTATTCTGCATTGTTGATATTGAGATTTGCCATTTTATTCATTGACTAATGTGAAAGAGAGATTCTAGTAAACAACTTTAATTTAGCATCTTTACCGACATGATTACATCTATCTGTGTTTGAAAGTAGCTTGGAAGAAAAAACTTTATATTGAGTAACCCAGTGAAGTGTCTCACTGTCTCTTCAAGGTAACTTGAAGAGTCTGTGAAGTGTCACAACTTGGATCAGTTAAACTTTGTACTAGTTTGTAACAGTGAGCAACAGAAATACCATGCTATATTAACTTTTCCTTATAATAACTTTGATGTCTTATTTTACATTATAGTTGGGTTAGTATTAAAGATTTACTTTTGTTTTGTTTAAACAAAAATATTGTGTAATTCGGTTATCTCTTTAAGAGAAAATTTGTTTTGCAGAATTTTTAAAGAGCTTGATTGGTACTATTTTCATTCAGATGTAAGAGGGAGGAATAAATCCTGGACATGGACATGGAAACTTCTAGACTCCTTCTGTACAAACCAATCAGAAAATAGATCATAATGTCCCTCACTTTTCAGGAGGATTTTTTAAAAATTGCACTGATATTCATTCTTCTCCTTTCATCTTCCTATTTGAATTTATGTAAATGATTTTGAACAATATCCCTGAAATTTTACAGTATATTACCTCTAATATTAATTAACTAGTAAATTAATGTTGAAATTTATTCTTTACATTGACTCTAAGGAAATAATAAGAGTCTCTAGTTGATGTTCCCCTCTCTCACCCTGACTTCAGATCAGTAGGATACTCTTTTGCTTTTCCTCCAACAAGGTAAATGCTAAAGAGATTGGTAGCAATTTAGAAAGCTAATAACATCTGAAGATGTCAGTAGTCTTGGTAACAGTTTGAGATGAAAAAGAATATTACTGAACTTTGAAACTATTCAATCTTCAAGGGACCAAAGGTTAAAATTAAGCACATTTCTGTTCAGTGAGAAGGCCCACGTAATGAGAGAAGAGCAATTTGCTTTACCAATTCTTAGAATGAGTCTTCAAAAAACTTTAAAAACAGGGTCAAATAGCTTTTTAACCTCCATGAGTTAATTCAAAGTAACTCTTCAACTCTCAAAATTTAGCTAGATGGAAAATGCTAGGATAGAAGTTTACGGAAATAGTAGACTAAGTGAGATGAAGAAAAAGGCATAAAGTAGGCAACTGGTTGGAAAGAAAAGAAGTTCACTGAAAATCTAAAAGGGCTGCCTGTATAGTCATAACTTTTCAGAAAGCAAACATTTTAAAAAATGAAATAATTTAAATAGTAAATGTCAAAAGCATTTGTGACTTCCGGGAAAGTGTTTGTAAAGCAAATTTTAAAATTTTGTTTATTTTATTTTTAATTAGTATATCCTTGTAGTACATAATGTTTACATTTGTTATGGGGTTTATGTGCATGTACATAATGTATCTTAATTCCTTTTTTATCTTCTTTTTCTTCCCTACCTCCACCACCTATGGATCCCTCAATTTCCCTTTTTTGTGCATGTTTGCAGTACACGATGTTTATATCCCTTGTGCAGAGGTGGTACATGTACCTACCACATCTTAATTCCCCTTTCCCTTTCCTTCCTCCTTCCTCCATCTCTTGCTCCCTTTTCGGGTAAGAAAGACATATCTCCCTACTTTCTATTATCTATCTTTTATTTTACTACTTATTTATACTTTAGGTTTCTCCTATAAAAGAAACCATGTGATATTTAATATTGTGCACCTGATTTCTTTCACTTAACATTATGTTCTCAGGGTACATCCATTTTCCTACAAATGACTCAAGCTTATCTTTCTTTATGGCAGAGTAGTACTTCATTGTATGGAAATTCCACCTTTTTTTCATTCATGCATCTATTAATTGACATATAGGCTGCTTCCAAAGTTTAGCTATTATGAACTGTGCTGGTATAAGCATGGATATGTGTACATCACTGTAGTATATCTTTAACTCTTTTGGGAAAATACTTAGAGGGGGAATAGCTGGGTCAAATGGAATTTGGAGCTTCAGTTTTTGCAGAACCCACAATTAAAAATGCTTTTCTATGATTTTTGTTTGTTTGTTTGTTTGTTTGTTTTGGTACCAGGGATCAAACTCAGGACCTTGCGCTTGCAAGGCAGACGCCAGAACCACTGAGCTAAACCCCCGGCCCTAATTTAGCTCAGTGGTTCTGGTGCCTGCCTCACAAGAGCAAGGACCCGAGTTCGATCCCCAGTAGCAAAAAAAAAAAATGCTTTCCTACAGGGAAAAGTTTCAAAAAGTTTATGTTTCAGTGACATCGTCCCTGGACTGATGAGTTGTATTCCAGTGGCCAAGTGACTTAAGTCATGGTAGATCTACAACAAAGGTTTTTGTGGACTAACTGAAATGCTTTTCTAGGTTACATACCAATAAACTGTACATCTTCAATGGATTAAGTAATTCCTAAGGTAAGAAATGCATAAAATCATTAGGCAGTTATTTCATTAATGGCACATTATGAATGTTTGGAAGGAAATGTTTAGGTAAAGTGGCAATATTCACTTTAACCATTGCAAACAGGGCAGATCACGTGAAAATGTGCAACGGATATCACATAAAGCAATTGAGGAAAGAATGGATAAAAATGAAAATGAGGACAAGGAGAGCTGATCCAAAAATTGCATTTGAAGTCTATGGTGATGTAAATAGCAAGGCTGGTGTCTTACATCCCCTGTCATAGAAAGCTGTAATACCATCCTATTCAATGTATCTTCAGCTCACCCAGCAACATTACTAGTAATTACAAGGAGAAAGAATCACTCACATTATGAGGATCCAGGCTCTGGCAAGAGGGACTCTGTTAGGATCCAACCTGGTCCATCATGATGAAGGATTTGTGCCAGGGCAGGCAGGGCTCTTGCATTTTGAATCAGTGCTTTCTTCTCATGCCTGCCATGTGATGGAGACCATTTTGTCAATTTCAAATGTACCAGTGGAGCCTAAGAATTAGCAAAAATATCAATTTTTGCTTAGATAGTATCTCTCCATGTCTTTGGACAAAATTTTAAAAAATATTGCTCATATAGATTATTGTTGCAGCTAATGTATTCATTTCTTTTCCTCAGATATTATGAGTCAAAATTTTCCCAATTCAAGCAGCTACTGAAATGTAGAGAATGTGTCACTTTTTAAAGAATAAATTTGCTTTTTAGTGCTTGGCTATAGACTGAAAGTAATTCAGCAGTAAATTTAAGGCAACCGATCTACAAACCCCAGTGGGTTTCCTATTTTCTTTCTCCTGTGTGCTTTTCCAGTGTGTCATAAATCTCAGAAAAACACTGGAAATTATTTTATTGTTTCATAATTGTAGAATTGCTACTCCTCGCTAAATAGCTAAATTTTGCTGCCACTTGTTTCCTCTACCTGGTAGATGTTCCAGACTAAGTAGTTTCCAAGAAAAGGCAATTTACTTCTGTAACATTAGCTTTTAGATTCCTAGTCATATTGTAGCTATGTACTCCCTCAAAAAAAAAAGAAAAACAAAAACATCAGAAAGCAAAAAAAATACTAAAGAAGCTAATAATGCTTTGAATTGATGTCCATTGGAAACATTGAGGAGATCAGATAAAACTCTGAATTAAGATTTGAATAGAGGGGCCAGGGATGTAGCTCAGTGGTGCCGCGCCTGCCTGGCAAGCGCGAGGTCCTGAGTTCATTATAGGTCCCAACCTCCCCAAAAAATAGAATTGAAAAAGTGAGAAGTAGCTGGATAAGGAAAATGGAAAATAAAGATTCACTGTCTATTAAATTGAGCTCAAAAATTCTATTATGGGCGGGGCTGTGGGTCAGCAGACCGGGCCTGTCCGGAGGCCTCTGGACTCGGCTGTGGCGCGCTGCCTGAGCGTCGGCGTGCTCCATGGGCAGCAGCCGGGACCGCGATGACAGACTACAGCGAGCAGCAGCTAAACGAGCTGGAAGCTCTGGAGTCTATCTACCCGGACTCCTTCACAGTGTTATCAGAAAATCCACCCAGCTTCACCATCACTGTGACATCGGAGGCTGGAGAAAATGATGAAACTGTCCAGACTACCCTCAAGTTTACATACAGTGAAAAATACCCAGATGAAGCTCCTCTTTATGAACTATTTTCCCAGGAAAACCTAGAAGATAATGATGCCATAGACATTTTTAAATTATTAGCATTACAGGCTGAGGAAAATCTTGGTGTGGTCATGATCTTTACTCTAGTGACAGCAGTGCAAGAAAAAGTAAATGAAATAGTAGATCAGATAAAAACGAGAAGAGAGGAAAAAAAGAAACTAAAAGAAAAAGAAGCCGAAGAAGCAGAGAAGCAATTATTCCATGGCACCCCTGTTACAATTGAGAATTTCCTATGTTGGAAAGCCAAATTTGATGCAGAACTCTTGGAAATTAAAAAGAAACGGATAAAAGAAGAAGAGCAAGCAGGAAAAAATAAATTAAGTGGCAAACAGCTGTTTGAAACCAATCATAATCTTGATACATCTGATATCCAGTTCTTGGAGGAAGCTGGAAATAATGTGGAGGTAGATGAGTCTTTGTTCCAGGAACTGGATGACTTGGAGCTGGAGGTTGTTGAGGACGGCCCAGACTACAACCCTGTTGGCCCAGGGAGTGACTCAGAGGACTGATGTTCCATCTCTGGAGAGCTCCACAGCCACAGCATCTGTGGCTGTGCTCAGTGGCTTTTAATTTTCCTTTCTTTTTTTCTAAGAAAAAATAACTCTCAGGAGAATATTCTTCTGATAACTTTCACCATTGAACTTAATAAACTGACCATAAAACTTCAAGATGAAATATTCACTTCCTCCTATTGGTGAACAGAAGTTTACATATTTAACATTATTTAATGCTGGAGGGAGATCCTACCTATAACACCAAGACTTGAAGGTGGGTTGCAGCCATGTGCATATGGGCATATGTATAAGAAACAGAAATAACCCATGTTTTCTACCCTTTAGATGATAGTTACTTTTGGATTCCAAATGTTGTCTTTCACATTAAGTGTTAAAATACTGAGATAAATAGGAAATTAAACCTGGATTCTAGCCTTTTGCCACAGTAACTTTAAGTTTTAACAGAATCAGAAGCCCAGATTATACATAGAAATAATATGGATGTCATCACTATAATAAAAAAATTCTATTATGATCTTTTAGGATAAAGATAGTCATGTGTCGTAGAATGAAATGGATCAAGTTGCATTCATGGTAACTTTCACATATAGCTGGTCATCTCCAACCATAAATTCTTTTATTGATTCTCTTTTCTAATAAATCTAGTTTCAATCTATATATGCTTCTTTTTTCTGACCTCTTTGATAAAGTGGTAAAGCTAAACTTATAATCCTGTTAGTATTCTGAACTTTTCAGGTAAAATATCTCTTGCACTCTGAACTTGAACTCACTTTTGGTTTTGCTGTTCTCCTCATCTGTGAGTGTATTCCTGTGGACAAACTCTGCTGCCTGCAGTCAGAACTGCAGATGCAATTAGGTACTTACTTATCCATATTTCTCCATTCTCTTAGCGATACTGAAGGTTAATTTTTGGGTGTCAAAGTTGACTGACTTGAGGGATGCTTGGAGAACTAGTAAGGCATTACTTTTAGGTGTCTTTGAGGGTATTTTCAAAGGAGATTGACAAATGTTTCAGCAAAGTGACTTGGGAAGCTTCTCCCTTAAGTTAGGCACCATCCAATCAGCTTGGTGCTGAACAGAACAGGAAAGAAAAAGAAGAAAGAAATTGTTGAACTTGATCTTCCATCTGGATTAAGGCAAGTTTCTTCTGATGCTTCCATTTGTTGTTAAACTCTTCAGCCTTTGGATTCTGGGACCTGTACCAGTGGATTTCCAGAAACCCCATGGCATTTGGCCTCAGATAGAAGGCAATTATGTCTGTCTCTATTCCTGATTATGAAGTTTCTCACTTCTTAGACTAACTCATGCTATCAGTTTCATTACTTCTTTGGCTCTCCTTGCTTACAGGAGGACTTTTTCACACACACACACACACACACACGATTTTGTTTGTTAGAGAACTCTTGACTAATTCCTCATATAAAACCAGATTCTTCAACATTCTCCACTGTTTACTGATCTCTTGTTTAAACTTGTATTTCTTGCTTGAGAGATGTTTCATTTGAGCAAGGACTAGAGATCTCTTTCTTGAAGATTTTGCCTGGCCCATTTGATGGATTATAGATACCAAACATTGTATTTCTAGATGAGTCTAGAATGTGTAGAGCACCTAGTCTCACCCAAACTTTGCTGAGGATAAAGTCACATTGTTCTGAACAGCCACCATACTTGATAATCATCAGAAGATGAACATCCCGCTATAGTGACACCCTCATATCGAAATATGATCCCGGGATAAAGAATCAAGAGTGGAGTGATGAAGAGATTGGGGAATGTTGTGGGGAACTAAAATTCCTAACTTCACAGAACAGCTTAGTTCTGGAATCATTTCTGATCTTCTTTATAATAGAATTCTTTCTAATTGGAAAAACAGAAAAATCCACATTTATTACATTAAAAGTAGCCCACATTTATAGTTTCAGTGTATTCAGCATACACATACAGATATGAGTAAAGTATTAGCTTTTTTCAAGTATTGGGGATGACAATGATGTCTAAAAATAGATACACTGTCTTCCTTTGGAGTATATACAGTCTAGAGAAACAGATATAAATTTTAAAAAATTATACACATAACCGTTACACATACCTGTTACAAGTATGACTGGGTAAATGATAAGAAAGATAAACAACTATATTCAAGAGGAAAGGAAAGGATCAACTTAGGAAGGAAAGGCTTTTTTGAGAAAATGAAGCTTCAATTGAGATCTGAAGGGAAGTAAAAATTAACTAAGCAAAGAAAAGCTGGAAGAGCATTTGAAAGGAAGAAGATTACATCATGTAGAAAGACTGACAATACTGAAAATATGATTCAAGGTTATAATTACTGGCTAACAAAGAATCGAATAGAGTATAGTGCAAATGGAAGGCTACAGTGAATGCAGAAATTTGCATGCAGAGCTTGGCTCTCCTTGTTTAGGAGCTTTGTTTTAATCCTAGGATCACTGGAATGATATTAAAAGGGATTTAAGCATGTGAGTTTTCCTTTTAAAAAATTGCTTTGACTTCCATCTGTAGAATGAGTTAAGATTTCCATATATGGAAACATGGAGAATTAGATATTGTGAATATCCTCCAAAGTATGTATGAAATTAAAACAGGTGAAATTATGAAAAGAAATAAAAATGTCAGGATGCAAATAAAAATGACAAAGAGGAACTGAAAAAATTGTATGACCAACTTACATTCTCAGAGATATTTGTACTCTGTGAAAAGCTGTATTTGACTTAGGAAAGGACATGACATCATAATGACTCCACAGGGACAGTGAAAAGAATAAGAAATGGTTTGTAAGAAGAGTAACATAACAAACTACAAATATATACTCTTCTCACTCAGCCTCTTCGATAGGATCTACAGTTATATAAACTAAAATTATGACAATGTATTATTATGTTTGTGATATATATTTGTAGTATATGTAATAGCACAGAATAGGAAAACCAAAAAAACCAAAATATATCTATATAGGAATAACATTTATATACCTCTTTGAAATTAAGTTAGTAGATTTTTTTTTTGATACTGGGGATCGAACATGTTAAGAGATTTTGATGAGAATCTAGGGTTAGCTCTAAGAGAGAGGCCTAAAAAAAGAATTAACAAAATATAGTACAATGAAAAAAATCATTAAAGGAATTTTTACACTAAAAATATCCACTTAATAAAAGGAAACCAGTGATAAAAGAAGAAAAAGCATGCTACAAAAAACATTAATAAAATGACAAATGTGAATATAAATTTATCAATAATCTAATTACTAGATAATATTATATTAAACAACTCAACCAAAAAGTAACAATTTTAATGGATACATCAAAAAACAAGACCCAGCCTATATGGTTTCCAAGGAGATGTATCTTAGATTCAACAATATAAATGAACGAATGTAAAAAGATGAAAAAGGTATATCATGAAGACAGCAGCCATAAGAGAAACTAAAATAGCTATTCTAATAGGAAAAAAATGGACTTCAAAGCCCCCAAAATGTTACTAAAATAAAGAGGCCCTTTTTACAGGGATAAAAAGAATAATACATTAAGATTCTACAGAGATACCTTGATATTCGTCATTAACTGGTTCCAGGAGGTGTGACAAGTACCAAAAATGACTAGTTCTAATAAATTGTTTTGGCTGAAAAAGGAGGCAAATCACAAGGTAATCAGCACTGACAAGTCCTAGCTTTCATATCAAGTGTCAAACAAAAGATGAGTACCTGGACAAAACTCCTTCATCAAAATGAGTAGAGTACCAAATTCCATGAGCTTCAAAGTAAATGAATTCCAAGGTATGACTGTATAACAAAAATTAATGCAAATTCAACTAATGATTCTTAAAATGCATGAACCAAAAACCAACAGAATTCAAAGTTTTAATAAAAACAAGCTTCAAGGGGTATCATACTTGGTAGAGAAGGATTGAAGATTTTTCCTTAAGATCAGGAGCAAGCAAGGGTACATGTCTTTGCTACTTCTTGTCAATATTTTACTAGAGGTTTTAACAAGCCCAGTGGGCAAAAGATAATTAATTAATTATTTATTGACTTAATTCATGTCATATAGATTGGAAAAGAGGAAGTAGGACCACTCTGTTTGCAGAGTACATGATCTTAAAATTCTGAAGAATCTACTACTACATTGTGGTGCATGCTACAAGTGCTATTTTTTACTATAATTAGTAAATGAGTTCAGCAGTGTATTAGGAGAGAAGATCAATATACAAAACAACCGATTGTATTTCTTTGCATTAGCAATGAACAATCTGAAAATAAAATAAAATAATTATTACCTGTAACCAATCAA